ACTCCGGGCTAGTGAATTTCTAAAATGGCGACCGTCCGGGAACATGCAAATCAAGAGCAGGATATTTAAATCCTGGGCTTGATTTGCAACTTCGGTATGCTTCATTTGCCTCCCTACTTTGAAGTAGGAGGCAAGTGTAGACATATCCTCAGGGATGTGAATTTTTCAGACCCCTGAGTGATGGAGCTAGATTGGTTTTAAGGCCTGGACTGAAACACAAGGTTAGGTTAGCTTAACTGCATTGCTCAGGCCCAAGGTTCCCTATGCTGTACAGCAGCACGGCCTGCAGCTGCTTAATCAGCTCCACCTAGTCAGGCAGTTCTGTGTGTGGAGCCCTGATCTGCTGGATCCGAGGAGCTAATTAAGCAACTGTGAGACTGTGCTGCTGCGCAGTTTAGAGGAAACCTTGCTCAGGACCACAAAAAATGTCTCTCCCTGTGTAATTGTGATTAAACTGAACCCAAACCTGGCAGAGACATCACTAGGTTGACAAAAGAATTCTTCTGTGCACCTGCCTACTGCCTCTTTCAGAGGTGGAATTACTACAGCAATGGAAAAACCCATTCTGTCACTGTGTTAAGTATCTAAGCTACATTGCTACGGTGGTATTGCTGTAGAGTACTTAGTGTAGAAAGTGTGATGGGTTGGGTCAGAGAGATCCCCTTGAAACTGTGACCTGATGGGCTATTCAGACCACTGAGCCCCTACCTGCCTTCTGGGGTCCCCCTTCACTCTGTCCTGATGAGCCAGAATCTCTGGTTTCCCTCGGCAAAGATACAGAATTGGAGTAATAGCTCAGTAAAAGCTTAGACGCCCCCTAGACAAGGGCAGCTGCAACCCTGCGCTGCTGCGTCTTTATCAGAGGCAACAGCACAGGGTGACAGGCAGCCAGTCTATGAAGGGAGCTGGTTTTTAAACTGGCTCCCCTCACAGACCAGCTCCTGCCTGGCACCCCACGTTGCTGCCTCTGATACAGCAACTCCTTAGGAGTGAGGCGCACTGGCTGCTGCCCCCCCCCCCCCCGGGACTGTAGAATAGTCAAGTAACCAATAAGAATCATGAGGTTACTCAACTATTCAGTTACCTGAAATTTAACATCGCTAGTGAGAGAGAAGATGATTATGTAGAAAGCCTTAAAATAAAAGACAAAGGGAGGGACAGACATATTCCACATTTATCAGAGATATATTACTAAAGCGATGGCCTTAAATTTGAGAAGAGCAAGTTTAGATTAGTTATAAAGAAAACCTTCCAAATGACATGAATAGTTTTACAATGGAACAGTAGCCAAAAGTAGTTGCTGAGGCACTATTAATTAGGGATGTTAACTATCGTGTAAACGTGTAACCCTTGATAATGTTAGCAGTTGCATGTTTATGCCTCCTCCGCCTCTAATAAAGAGGCAGCAGCACAGTGGGTTAGCACAGAGGCAGCAGCACTGTGGGAGCTGATACGCACAGGGACCAGCTTGAAAGTCTCTCTCCATGTGTACTGGCTCCCTCCTATCCATCCTCCCCTAGTCAGTTTCTGGCTGCAGCTTGGCATACAGAATCTTGGAATGAGAGTTTCTACTTTAATCATACAGATTTGGGAGTGTGCGTGGAGAAAAAAATTGACTGTTAATTGCAGTGATAGTGTTTCCTTTATGGACATAGGAATTGTTGAGTACAGCACTGATGTGCTCTCTGTTTTACACACAGGGCAGTGGCAGTGGCCAGATGTCATAATGTTATTCATGTTACAAAGACAAGAACCAAAATGGCAGAATAAAGGTTGCCCGATCCATATGCATGATGATACACACTTTAATTTAAATAGTCACATACAATTTTTTCTATGGAACCCCTGCCTTAATCAGTGCTGAGGATTCAATATTTTGTTTTCTTCCTCATTGTAAGCTGAGGTCACACTATAAGCAGACAGGGAACTGAGTCACCGAGAGATTAAGGTAGAAAGTTTCCATGGATTTAGGTGCCCAATTTGAGATGCCAAGTACCTGATTTTTCAGAGACTGTAGCATTATATAGCACTTTATATGTTCAAAGCACAGCTCCCATTGACTTCAGTCGCTAGGACTCAGCACTTCTGCAAATAAGACACCAGGGTATTCAGATGGGCATGCAGAAAATTGAGAAACTTTGTTTGAACATTTTGGTTTATTTGTCTGTCACTACACAGGAAGTCTGTGGCAGAGGCAGAGCCCTCCTTAGGAGGTGTGGGGCCTGGGACAACTCTCTCCGCTGCTGCAGGTTCTCAAGCCCTGCCATTGCTGTGCCTCTGCGTGCCCCTGCTCTGCTCTCTCCTGCCCCCACTGCACCCCTTTCCTTTAACCCCCTTCCATGTTATGTGACCCAGCAGGTTAATGGGGGGCCTGCTGCAGGGCAGTGGCAGCGGCCAGCCCCCCTGCACTCTGGCGGCAGGATGCAGAGTCTGCTCTGCTCTGTCCCACCACCCATCTTCCAACCCATTGCGCTCTGCTTCAACTTGGCGGTGGGAAGTGGAGCTCCTTAGCCACAGCCCCAGCTCACTTGCCTGAACGAAGCAGCACTTGTTATCAGAAGCCCATCTCCTTCGTTGTAAGGATTAGATCTGTGTTCCCTAGTTCTGATGGAAAGATCATCTGTTCTTCCCAGGATCAGTCCGAGAGAGGCTACAGATGAGACTCTCCCCTCATTTTCATTTCATTTCTCAGTTATCTCTCTTTTTCTGAGCAGAAATCACAGATTGCTCCACTTGCTTGGGAGATGTTAAGGATTCCCCTTATTTGTTACTTAGGTGCCATTGGAACAGAATGAGAGGTCTATTCTAGTGTCTGTTAGTTTCTTCTGCCTCAAATTAGACCTTCCCTAGTTTTACTGTCAGCACCGAGTACTTCAGTTCATCCCTCTTAGTTGAGGTTTTGAATTCCACCTTCTGCACAAGGACCATTTTGCACACTTCTCTACCATGGCCTTCCTGGACATCAGTCTTGGAGGATAGGGATGGCAGTAACTTCTAAATCTTTCCCTTGGTATATGAACAAGGGCACCATTTAGAGGTCTTGAGGAGGGTGGGGGCTGCAGGCTGCAGCTCCCCCTTAAGTTTTCTGTCATACCAGGACATTATTTCCTGCTTCCCTTCATTAGCTGGGAGTGAGAGGAATGCAGGCACCTTGCTTTGCAAAACACAGAGGTGAGCAGTCATGCTGCTTTGCTTACTTGCCTCCCTTGGCTTGCTATTCTCTCATGAGCCAGCCAAAAGCTACTTATGCTACTGTTCTTCTCCCCTCTCCCCTTTGAGCCACTGTCCTGTCATCTGAAGAAGTGGGCCATGCCCATGAAAGCTCATGATACCATCTATGTTTTGTTAGTTTTTAAGGTGCTACTAGTCTGTTTGTCGTTTTTTAAGTTTTTCCTGTTACAAACTTACTTGGCTACCCCTCAGAAGCTTTTGAACTGCTTGAAAAGCTACGCTTCTCCCTTCTTCCCCCTGGACTGGCTATTCTTTGCTCTACCAACAGGAATGCAGAAGTATCTGGCAAAGCTAATAATAGAGCTGGGAGCTTCTGCAGCACTTCTTTCAAATTCATTGAAACAAGCAGGCTCAGAGAGTGGTGGGGATGGAAGCTCTGTGCTTAGGTCAGAAGACTCTTGCTGTGGATTGCACTATGATCTACCGCAGGCATGTCAAACAGGCCTCTGGAGGGCTGCATGTGGCCCGATCAAAATTTTTTGCGACCCGCCACTACATTCTTATAAAAGAATAAAGTGCGGCCTGCTGGCCACTCATAGCACATGGCCGAGTGCAGATCACAGCCAGCAGACTGGCTGCTCTGCGCGCGGAACCTCAGTGACTTCTCACAGCCAGCCGGGCTGCTCTGTGCACTGTGCTCCAGCACGTGCTCATGGCCGGCCAAACTGCGCTGCACACGGCGCCGCTGCATACTCTCACGGCCAGCTGGCCGCTCTGCACAGGCATCAAGTACCTGCTCACAGCAGGCTGCAGTGCTCATGCTGCCCCAGCGCCTGAGGAAGAAATGTGTGGCTGTGGCTCCAGGACCCAGGCATTAGGTTAGAGGAGGCTGGGAGTGCCTGGCTCAGTGGGAGAGGAAAGGCATTAGGCTGGGGGTGCTTGGCTCTGGGGAAGGGGGCAGGCATTGGGTTAGAGCAGGGGGGTGCTCTGGGGGAACAGAGGGGGATTGGGTTAGAACCAGAGTGTGGGAGTGGCTGGCCTGGGGATATTTTGTTAATATTTTGTTCTTTATTTATTCCCAAATAAAATTCTAAAATATATATTAATTTTATATCAATAAATATGCTATTTTTTGCAATTGCATGAATATTATGTTTATGCAAAATCATAAATTTACAAAGTATCTGACATTTTCACAGAAGCCTGTTCTATTTGATTAACCACAGTCTTGGGGCTGGCCGGGAGGAAGGGGGGCAGGAAGCAGAGCTGCTGGGGGGGGGGGGGA